ACCCAAACTATTCTGTGATTCTATGATCCCTGGAGCAGAGCACGAGGGTTTCACTCCACACAGGCGAGCGAAGGAGCAGTGACTGTAGGGAAGTGTAGGACCTGGTGACTGTCACAGCAGTGGGGACAGCAGGGATGGCGCAGGCGGGCGTGTGGGTCAGTGGGCGAGGAGGGGGACGCACAATGCACGCGTGGGCCGAGCCCCTTGAGACCTCCTCCTTCTCTTCCAGTGAGAGCGCTTCCAACCTCAAAGCCTTGTTTGACTTTGTCCAGACGTCCCTGACTCCCGACAGCAGCGACTCCTGGAAGGGCCCCGTGCTGCTGGTGGACGACCTCAGCGTCCTGCTCAGCCTGGGTGCCACACCGGTGGCAGTGCTGGACTTCATCCACTACTGCAGAGTCACGGTGTGCTCCCAGCTGAAGGTACTGTTCCCTCTGCATGCAGCGTCCTGTACGCTACGTGTATAAAACAGCCTCTGGAGCAAAGCTTGGCTTTCTTTTCTTTTTTCTACCTATGCATGATGAGGTTTTAGAAGGCTTTGGCTGTCCAAGAAATTCAAATCATTGCTCGAGGGCCACTCTCAGGGAGTTGTGTTAGTCCCTGGAGTACCTGTGTAGGGTCCTTTGCAACTGGTTTCCCAGGAGGCGCTGCCCAGAGAAGGGCTCTCTCTGTCCCTGACGTGTGAGCAGGGATTCGAGGTGTAAAATATTGTTTCTTAGAGCTCCTGCGTCTCCGGAGATCTCTACTCACACCCATGTTTGTGTGCGTGTGGAAGGGCGGGGAAGGACACGGGTTATGAAGGTAGTGAGGGGCTGATGAGTCTCGCAGGGGGCAGAGACGAAGGTCCACTTCGAGGGGACGCGAGTCTCTGCTTCCACCAATCTTCAGCGTTGCTCTGTGTTGCACCGGCTGGTTTCTAAGGGCGGCACTTCTGCAAAGGTCTCCCCAGCGACGTGCTAACTTCTGAGAGTGTTGCAGCCAAAAATCGTTACAGTCAAATCCATCCGTTGCTATTTACATTGCAGCGTCCCTCAACCTGGCCACTTCTCTCTCTGCTTGAGTGAGAAATAAAGTAGACGGTGTCAGGCTTTGTTATCCTGCACTTCATATGGTGCCAGGGTGTTTGTGCTGTTAATGCTGACAAGGGTTGTTCTGCTTTCTGAGAATATTTACCTCCAAAACAGCTAAAAAAAAAAAAAAAAAAATCATGGTAACACGTTTCTATTTCTGTCTAAGATGTTCTGAAGCTTTAAAGTACATTTTAATTGATTGGGAATTTCGTGTTATTTTAAGTCCTTGGTGACCCGTGTGGGCTGAGGCAGAGACTCTTGGGATGTATTTTTAATAGAGTTGGTGTTGCGTTGGGGAGCTCTTTGCTTCTTGTGAGAGCTGTGAAGGTTCGAGCATCACAGCTCTGGCTGCGGCCGTTCGTCTTTATTTAGCTGTTCTGAATTCATCCAGAGAGTTGCCATTTGCGTGGCCTGACAGACTGGTTTAACTAGACAGCTGTCTTGTAACAAAGGCTTGATGTATTTTTAGGCTGCGTATTACATATATATGTGTGTATGTGTATATGTATACACAATATATATACAGCAAGCTGTTTCAGAGTTTCATATATGTATCTGCTGTTTATTTTCCCAATGGACTTGAGCTCAGAATCAGCTGCCGTGCTGGGGGATGTCTCAGTAGCTTAGTTAGCAGGGCATTTGTGCAAGCTCCCGTTGCTATCTCCCCTTCCTTACCCTGAGCGGATTAGGAATCGGCCAGGGGCTCACCGCTGCCTGGTGCTCTCGTTCCAGGGAAACATCGTGGTGCTGGTTCACAGCAACGAGGATTCAGAAGACGAGGAAAACGAACTGGTTGTGAACTCCCTGTGTCATCACAGTGACCTGATCCTGTGGGTAGAGGGGCTGGCGACCGGCTTCTGCAAGGACGTTCACGGGCAGGTAATGCACGGGAGAGCACGGGGAGGTGGCACATGTTAATGTCACATACAACACTGCCTGCAGGCCCAAGGGTAGGCAAGACATGCTCCGTCTGCCCCGCAGGAGATGGCCTAGGGCCAGCCTGGTCTGCAGCACGGTTAAGGACTAACGAGCAGCCTCGCTGCGGTCACCAGGATCTGCTGGAGCACACGGGCTTTTACGGCTGTGACTCCGCTTCTGCGGGGATATTCAGGGACATCCTGCCACCTGGGGACTGCCCCATCTCTGGAAGCTGCAAAGGGTTTATACAGCAGCTACCGTGCAGGCTGTCTCCCGCCCCAAGATGATGGCAAAGAAAAATAATCTAGTTCCTGGGAAGCTTCCCCAAACTATCCTGTTGATGGATCTCAGCCTGGCTTGCGGTGATCTCTTCAGGGCGGGGAGGGCAGCTGGGTCTCTGGGGCCCGGTTACTGCGTGGTCCCTCATCAGGGGCTGCCCCCAAAGGGACTGGTTACAGGCAACTGCGTGATGGTTTTTTTATCAGTGATCCCCCTTCCCTGCAGGCCAACAAGAGGCGTGGGGGGTGAGGATGCTGTGACTGGAGCAGCCAAAGGGATGCTATTCCTGTTCCTTTCCCTTTGCAGATTAAAATAATTAGGAGAGTGTCCTTGGAGCTGACGGCGGAGCAGGATCTCATCCAGATCTACCAGTACAAGATCCAGGACAAGAACGTCACCTTTTTCGCTAGAGGGCTGTCTGCTGCAGTCCTGTGATGCTGCGATACCGTGCAGCGCTGTGAGAGCAACGCGGAGCGAGGCCGGGGAGGCTGGTACCTCTAGACTGGACGTGCTGTTGTCCCTCAAGCAGGGTTCGTTACCCCGCTGTGCAATGAGCCAATCTCACACACACAGCTGAGGTATTTGTTTATTCCATGTCTGCGCAAAGATGGGTGCTGGGTGGTAACTCCACAAAGCTAGCTCACCAAAATACAAACCAAGTCCTTATTTAATATCTTAAAATTGGCTAATTACCACCCCTTCTACAAACAGATCGCTTATTATAATTTTCTGATTACCATTTTGCTTTGTCATTCTCAACATTGTCTACGCATGTTCAGTGGGTAAGGGGATTTTGTGGTAGGGGGAGATTTCAGCAGTGGAGGTGTGGTTTTCATATTATAATTAGGATAGGTTAACTTAGGACATGATCTTTGGGGAACTCGGCACAATTTTTACAGTTTGAAAGACACTTCATTTATCTCAAGTTCATGCCTACTGGTTCATGACCATCCGTTCCTTTCTTGTTCTAAAAATCAATTTATCAAAACGTTATAACGATTCCCATATTATTTTAATTAAACATTTACACGATTCAGCAGCTTTCCCATGTAACCATACTTCAGTGCCACCAAGCCAGCCTGGCTGCGTCACCAGCGCCTTCCAGGAGCCGTGCAGCAAACTGACCCAGGCGTGTTGAACTGCATGCCAACGAGGGGATTAGCCTGCCCGGAGCCTGCTGCATCCCTTTGTCCTCCCACCCCGTTCCCAACATACGCACGCCAAGAGGAAGAGCAAAAACTTGCAAGAACGGCCCTTAGAGCGTGTAAATACAAGCAGGGGGGATGCCCCGAGGGCTGGGCATGCCTCACCTTTTCCGGTGTGTTTCGGCATGGCAGTGCCAGGCACTACTGCGTGGAGGGATCACCCCACCCTCCCGCTGGCGTTTAACCAGATGACACAGAGCGGGTGGAAGCAGGGATGGTCTGGGAGCGTGTTGCAATTCTTACCTTTCTCCCAGCCCTGGCACAGGAGATGTGCTCAACTCCCAACTTGCACAGAATTAAAAAAAATCTATAGCTACATGCATAGTCCCTCACCTCGCTGCTGTAGGACCTAAAGGCTGCCTTGCTTGGTTGATCCCTTGCTTTGTTTTGCTATTTGCCCTCTTTTCACGTAAAATCCCTGAGCCTGTGTGTGTCTGTTTAGCGTGTGGCTTCCCAAGCTTGGCTTTG